ATTGGTAAGCCGTTTTTTGTTTTTGCAGTAGTTGTGTAGAAAAATGTAATGCATTTAACACGTTATCACGTTTCCGCTTAAGTGGTATTCTGAGAAGGACAATAAGGACACTTTCAGTTAAGTCTTTAAGTAGCGGTAACAAATATTTCAATTGGAACCACTTTTGTAACATTTTATTAGCTTTCTAATAAAATGTAGTTTATATGTAGCTTTCTAATAAATTGTAAAATTACCAAGCAGGTATATAAACCAACAGAACCTTGAAGATTAATATTCTTATTACTTAAAAAAGAGGTTTCGTGGACGGAACCACGTCATACAGCGCAGGGCGCACTTTTTCATTTCATATTTCCTCTGCACGCCGCGGCATGGCCGCTCTCTCGTTTTATGGGTCATGCGACTATGTGCGACTATTTTTAATGGACCTGTGCACAGTTTTCATTTTTCCCAGTGATAAATTGACTCCATGCTCACGATGGATGGTCATCTTTTCGAAGTTGAAGCGCTCGTATTTTCATTCTTGTTCGTTTTGAAAAATTTTACAAGTTGCTGTAGTGTGTGTATGCCTGTGTGTTTATTTCGTTATTTTCTTTTGTTTGTAGTTGTTTTATGTATGGTTATGATATGCTGCCGGGATTATAAAACTTTTTTTTTTGTTATTCTTTACAATACCTATAACGAACTATAGCTTTGAGTCTGATTTTTAATAATAACCTTTCGATAACTGTAGCTGGTGAATAGTGTTTGTAAAATATATATTTTTTTTTTTGTTATAAACTTATAAATAAAATTTAGTCTATTATTAGTGATAGTATGTTTCAAGTTGATTTGTTGGTACTTAAAACGGCGTATTTCATACGGAACCTTTACTATCCTACAATACTCCTCGACAGTAACATCGCAGCAGTAGTTGTAATCCGTATGCGCGGGCGCTTCCTTCCGATCTATTAGTTTAGCGAAGTGATTGGACGCCCGGGCCACTCGCATGCGACGTGACCCAACTCGCAAACGCGGAGCTACTAATGCAGATACGTGCTGGTGAACTTTACGCCAGTGATATCATTGTGTTCTAGCGTCTACGTTTCTACGAAAAAGTAAGAAATGTAATGAAAAAGATATTGATTTAAGCACTGGTTCAATCAATTAAATACAAAGTCAGAACACAAAGGTTATCTAACCGAATTCTACTACAAACTCTAAAGATTTACTCAACAAAACTTCTTAATTAATTCAACATCAATATCAAACAAAATACAGCGACTTTTATTTAACTTTTCCTCCTACAAATGAACATAAACCCGAGAGAACATTGGCGAGTAACACTGACAACTTGCAAGAAACTCTAATAAATATTTAATCCTGGCAAAGAACGTCTTGAAACTTAGCATTGGGGGCGGTGAACAAACTTCGGTAGCGGCAACTAACGTAAATTAATACCTGACATAAATTTGCCATAACTGTGCCAAGTTTGTACTGTAGGCTGGCGGCTGGCTCAAGACAGTACAAACGACGTACAAATCGCGAAGCCGGATGCAAGTCGGCTAATGGTGGTATAAAGCAGCGGGACGCACCACTGAGGGTGTTCCCACTTATCAGTCGGACGATCGTTGTAAGGCTCTTAGATTGTCACTAAAGATATCGATTCGGGATAACACTTAAATTTTCGTTTTTATAATCAAGTCTTGTCAAAAAGATTTTGATGAATAGTTTGATAGGATATTGTCACGTATGAATGAAATTGTAATAACAAATCATTATAAAACTTTATCACATCGTTCATATTGTGTTAAATACATTTCCTAAATCTGTTTAAAATAACACATAAATAGAAGATTGACGATAATCAGTCCACTACTTAAAGTAGGACAATAAAATGAAGCGGACAAGTAAACTCAAATAAAATTGCATCAAGTTTCTCACAAGGGATGTTTCGGTCCACCAGACAAGCAGGGGGTTATTAGCTAAATAAATTTGTTCACCCAATATGCTCGGTAACTCGATTTAATGGCGATAGAATTGATTCATTCAATTATGAGGAATTTTTAGTACCCTACCGTGTGGGATAACTTTGTTTTATAGGGGAACAACGAAGGGAAAGTGTTTCTCACGTAAGTTGTGTGCTTATTTATTTTGTGTATTTACTTTTACTTCATTTGGAATGATGGGTTTAAGATTATTTTGTATACTATAGTGATAGGCTTGAGGAGTGAATTTTCAGAATTCATTCGACATTATTCAGCTTATAATGTAATAAAGTACACTGATATATACTTACATTTACATTTATTTTAAATTATATGTTTTATGAGTGACCTAAATTCGTAATCCGCCCTTTACTAATGGCCGAGTCATTCCGTTTTAATCACTAAAAAGCTTCGTACCGACATATATAATCCGTATACAAGAAGCGCCCAAGGCCCAGGACTAAAACGTAACAGCCGACGCGTCCTAAATTTGACATGGATTTATGTGTGACGTCATCGTCCACCGCCATTAGTATTACTAATGCTCCCATTACCGGGCGGGGAGCTTCCCACGGCATCTGCCGCTTGTTTTAGCTAATTTATGGCCCGTCGACAAGGCCCAGCTACCCAGAAAGGTGAATAAACATGAATCTTCCGTGCTGGATGTGGTACAGATTGGATTGGATTTCGTGGAAAGAACAATTAAATGTCGATGTGTTCGGGCGGTGTCTAAACCTAAACCTTTTCTTGCAGTAACATATTGTTTAAACGGTATTTGCAACGTACATTTTTTATAAATATTTTTTTTTATGTGATTGAACTGCACTACGGATAACCGGTAGGTAATCAGAGCCGCCCATAGAGACCTTCAACAACGGAGGAGTTACGAGTGCATCGCCGACCTTTTTGGATTGGGGAGGGATTGGGAAGGGGAAGGATTGGATCTTCCGTAACCTCACTCACATGGCGAAACACAATGCTGTAGTTGCTGACGATAGGAAATTATCTTCTCTCCTTTTCTTCAGCAACATTTCATTACATTTCATATCCAGGACAGTTTTCAAATATTCTTTATAAATATTAGGATTCTTAACTCAAGCACTTCTAGAAAGTGTTGGAGATCTGTTGTACGCAAGTCTTGGCACTTCCGCACGTATCTGCGTTGCGTGTCGCGCGTGAAATATGGAGCGTCGCGTCGGCGACAACGTGTGTGCTTTCTAATATATCGGTTACTACTGAAATTCGGGTTTTCGCAAAGGTTTATTTAGTAAGACATGTATTTTGGAAAATTCTACAAAAGTATAGGTACCTACATATGTACAAGTATACTTATATTTGTAAAATAATTGGTTCAATAAACTTGTTACATCTGTGATTCATAGGAAGATAGGACAATTTAAAGCTTAGAAAACCTAGGTAACAAATCTAGTTTTACCGAGTCTTTACTCTAAAAAGACAAATATACTTCTTGAAAGTTTCTTCCATCAAAAGATAGATTATCTTAATAATACCCCTTTTAGAATTTGGCCGTATGTAAACCTGTGTTTTTCGTAAAGGTTAGTATATTTATGATGTTTCATTAAGAACAAAATATCATAGATATTGAGTTCATTACGCTAACTAGTCACTTTAACTTAAGTGCAAAATAAATATGACCCACACATTTACACGTAAGAACATCCCATACATTGTCAAACAGCAATCCAGGCACGCACTTGGGCATTTTATTTTTCAATTACAATTGTTAACGGCATAATCAGGAGATATCGCACAATCGCTGTGGGCTCGGCTAATCCAGATTTATTCGAACAGGGCCGGATTAAGGTGGCGTGAATTACACGTTTATAGGCCATAAAGAGTGATCCGGTGGCGTGCAGTACCTGTCGCTGTTAGATATAGTTATGATGTGCACTCGCTGTATTCTTTATACAGGTTGTGTCACGATTATGGCCTGTCTCCTTTAAGGATTAAGTTCATTTTTGGGCACTTATGATAGTGACCTGAAATTTTTCTATTTGTATTTGTCAATTTTCATTCATAATAATGATGTCTAATAAGAATTGACTTTCCCTAAAAAGGTATTATTCTTCTATCATAAACCATACCTATTACTAAAGGAACTAAAAAGAAAAATCCATCTGACCAACGCTTATCTATTTACAGATTAAATTCACCCTAAAATTATTACAAATAAAAGGGTTAATTCTTCCATTAAACCTAAATAACTCTTACCAACGAAAAGTTTTGAATTATTACAAAATTATATAGTCAAAATCTCTTTTAGGAAATACGTAGTCAAGGTTACGGTTTCGTAATAAACAAACTCGGTGCTATTGTTTCAGAAAGTTTTTATTTTTAGCTCACCGTTTCATTTGGACAATAATTACGACGAATGACGCAGGATGAAGTAATAGGAAAAGTTTTAGAAACGTGAAATTATAATTGCGTAATGTTTTTCTGTTAAATTTAGTCTTACATTTTTATTTGTATTGTCAGGTATGTTTAGGTGTCTTATTCGATTTTAAATAACACTGGGTTGAGTATACCGTTACGACCTTCAATCGTTTCAAGAAGCGTGCGTACTCCTTTTTAAGAAACTGGCAACGCGCCCGTCACTCCTCTGGTGTTGCAGGTATCCATGGGCGGCGCTGATCACTTACTTACCATCAGGTGCTATGTCTGCTTTTTGCTTCATATACCTTCTTATTACTTTGCTTAATTCGAAAATCTAACTTAAGACACACTTTTGGAATTGCGGGAGTAAGTCATATAATGTACTGCCGCCCCGACCTGGAGCAGGAGAAATAACAAGATGGTTTTTAGTTAGAAAGAGTCTGACACTCCCTCTCGCCTCTCGCGACCAGAGTGGGAGAAGCTACTTTATGACTTTCCTCCCTGAAAAAAAAAAGAATATATTCTTAGTATGTTAGACAGCAACTAGGTTTTTTTAGTTCTAGAGTAGTATATGATATTAATATTTAACTATTTTAAGAAGAAATATTTCGTTATTTAATGAAAAAGAGCATCCTGTAGGAAATGGCGACGGTAGTTAGCGGTGGCGTGCGCGCGTCTTGTTGCGCACGAGTTATGTCCTCGCCCACGCGGCGCGTGCGCAGGGCGCCTCGCTGCGCTGCGCCTGCGTCGCTCCCGTGGGTGAATGTTCCATTCAATAATCTACGTGTAAAGTGTCCATTAATTAAGTGTCAAACGATTAGAATCCACTGCATATAGTTCAAGCAATAGAACTTTATTTGCATTTTATAATAAGATTTCTTATTTTAGATTGTTATACTTTTGGATCGTTCTGTTTAGTAGTATTAACTTCAAACTTCTAAATTTTTTCGTCTTAGTAGTTTATTTTAATGCCCCACACTAGGACTATCCTGTGTCTTAGGTGTGTTTACAAACATACAATTTCATCTACACATATAAACTTTATCTACACTTTCATTCACATCATAATCTTAAGCGACGAAGGTAAAAGTAAAAAGGGGAACTAATACTGTTAAATGAAAACTTAGATTCCGTAAATATAATTACGTATTAGCTTCTGCCGTCGGTTTCACCCGCGTTATCGGGAAAAAGTGTATAATATAAATATAAGTGCCCACTGCTGAGCAAAGGCCTCAAAAACCATTCTGTAGAGTGTAACGAAAAACCAATAACATTCACTAATTTCAGTATGATTTGTAATGTATTTCAAATAAATGGTTTCTTCATATTCCAGGTATTAAAGTTCAACAAAGCTTCCTTTTGTAGCTAATATACCAGGATAAATATGTCTGCATTCATAATCGAATTGGCAGCTATGAAGATCGCCAGCAGTAGCGACATCTTTACTGTCTCGTAAATATTTTAAGAACATTCCATACTAGGGATAACATTTATTCGAACAGACTTTACCCATTGAGACTTATGATAAGTTGGATGTACTAAATAGAAAATTATTTCGAACATATTTCTGTTAAGGTCCGCTTTTCGTTGTAAAAACTTCCAAAATATGTAATAAAATTTTCAAAACCACTAAATCACTTGTAGAATTGCCTAAAAATTTAATAACAACCCCAACTATAAATAATGTTCTGTGGAGGCAATCTGGCTTGCAAATAAACCACACTTTAAGTGGGGCTAAAACGCACTCGGATGTTCGAATGTCGTCACCACTTTAACTTGTAGGGATTTGCGGAGTATTGAGGGGTACGTTAAAACAAAATGTAAATAGGCAGTTCTTAATCGCAAAATAATTAATTCTTTGCTGTAAGGTGCAGTGCGATTAGCAACGGGCTTTGTTTTATATTAAGTTGAGAAAGAAGAAGAGTGATTTCAAAAGTACTAATTCTGAAGGGTAATGAGAAATGAATTAAAATAAAACCTTTCTAAATAAGTACAATACAACTTATTACTTAAACAGTATTTTGAAAGTGGGTTTTATTTCCATATCTCTGTGCAACATCCGTGGGAAGGCTCCCAAGTAGCACGATTCTCCGAGCATTGAGGAAAAATAAAGAAGCAAAAATGACAAGACGTTATTTGCATCCCGCTAATGGCTGCTGCTGTCGTAATGCGGGGGTAGATGAACAAATATTGCTTTATCCAGACGAGCCACAATTTATTCCAAACTCGCTTTATTCGCCATTCCAACGCCAGAAGTCAGAAGGGAAGTCGGAAAATGGTGGCATTTGGATTTTTTAAGTGATTCGCAAATCATTCCGCTTAATCAAATGACCTTATTTGTTTGCTGGTTTTCCTTGTTTTTATCTTTTTTGATCTTTGGAATTTTTTACCATTCTGATTTATAACAACGCACCAAGGGATGTTTTGGAAGGTAGCGCTGCAACAAAATGTCGTAACGTACATATCGCGCTGTTATCGGCGAGGCCGAGGGGAGAGAGGTCACGAAAATGTCCTTATCTAAATAGCGTGACCGCGCGATACCCGCTCCTCACCTGCTGACTTTATGCCTTTCCCGGGGAAGTGTGGCGCCGCATACAAACGAGTTCAGCCCTCGCCTTCGACCATCCAAATGTCGTAAACTTTTGACGTGTAAACACGTTACGATTCACATGAAAAAAAGTGTTGGAAACATTGCACTCTAGTTTGAATTATACGAAAAATGCAAATTAAAATAACTCTCAAATCCCAACTCAACCGTGTCGGAGCTTAATCCGCGAAGTGACAACGGCATTCTGACGAGGCGCCGGAGCTGGGAATTATTAAAACGAACGCCAACTTTTTCACTAAGCCCGTCGCAAAGCCGTTTCAATTGCGCTGCGCTGAAGATAATTCCAACTGACGTCATCTTTTTTTCAAATTCTCGACTCTGCTACGTTCTCTGTGCAGCAATTATAACATTTCCACCGACTGGGAAAACAGAAACACGTGGGAGAGAGCGCGTCGAATCGCACCGTTCGTAATTTAAATTTAGATGGAAATTTAATGATGCATTCACAAAGGGCGCTCGTAAAGTCGGTTGCGAGATATTTTTTACGAGGATCTCGCGAACTATTGCGCGCTTAACGACTCCGAAGCAAGATCGCCCTCCGCTTTAATGAGCGCCCGATAAACGTGTTAACTGCCGCGACCTTATTTTTATGCCGATGTAAATTTGCTGAAAAACGTATTCATTACAGCGATTGCGGACTAACGGCAACATTATGCCGTATTAAATTTGCAGCCGAATGTTGTCCTAGAAGCTGGGCTTGCTAGGTAAAATAATAGTGCCGTACGTCGGAGGCAGGCTAAGGTAGCGCTGGCTATGTTTAATATATGAGGGCAGGCGACGCAGCGTTGGTAAACACGGCCCAACCTTCGCTCATGTTGCCCACTGTTTGCTCACCGTTCTAGTCTCAAGAGAAAATATGTTTGCTTTGCATACCTAACCATAGCTTGCTCAGAGGCAGAGCGCGCCTGTTTTCCTTGACATGTTTTCTCCGAGGCTCTACAAATAGCTGGTTAAAAAGTTCCTACAACATGCGCAGTTTGTACTTTATATTTTTACAATGTATTGTTTTCCCTTGCTATTTTATTATTAATTCATGTTATAATTATTGTGTTAAATATTCTGTTTGTTTTTTGAAAAGGAATGTATTTACAAATATGATTTGAAATTGAATCGATATTAAAAATCATAGGCGTTGTTTGTTGAAGTGCTGAGCTCCAGAGGCTACTCCTCTAGCCGCACAACTCCACTTAACAAACGTATAAATAATATTCAAGGCGAGGGAACATATTCGAGGGTACGGAATAGAGGGTAGTTTGACGGCGTAACGAATCGAAAAACCAAATCATCGAGTGGCACCCCTACTGTACACCGCTACATGATAGTTTACAACTGAAGCTGTGGAGTCGACGTTGTTGTTAATATAAATTTTTGTTAAGTTGTATTGTAAGTCTATTTAGTTTTAAAATATTTTTTTCTTATAGTAGGTACTGAGATGTTAGATAAGTAATATGTTCGTTCTACTTATCATGTTCAGTTTTAATATTGTTATTTGGTTTTCCAACGACAGGTAAACAATGTAAGAGTAAGTTCCGAGTAAGTAAAAAAAACATAGTTATACTAATGATGATTAACTAATATTAGTAATATAGTTTTGTTGTTAATTTTACCAATAAAATAAAGTTGTATTTTATTATATCGGACTACTCTATGACTTTCACTAGGATTAAATCTTTAGGGCTGCCCCTTAGCGGTCTGTCGAGAGTACTCGTCATACTTTTTTATATATTTTAATTTTAATTTCATATCGGGTGCTAATGGCGGGGCCACAGCCCTGCGTAGCGAATCTCACTGAGCCGAATGTATTCATAGCGTAATAAAACTTAATGTAGCGAGTGAACTAATATTGTCTTATTCAATATTTAATTTTCAAATATAAATTTGGCCAATTTTCGCGATTCATAAATTTCGTTAAAGTGTTTGACGTTGGTGAGGGAAAAGATATATTGGTTCTTATTTTTAAAGAGGTTAGAAAATTTATTTGAGATAATTTTCTTCTTTCTTTATAGGTACTAAGTAAATTATTTTAACGTATTCTTGATTTTAGTTTAAAACTAAAATAAATAAGCTTTTTATCTGATACTGCGACAAATGATAAAATGGGTTACTTGATGTTAAGCAATCGGCGCCTCCAATGGAGACCCAAAACCCTAGAGGAGTTGCAAGTGCGTTGTTGGCCTTTTGGGGATTTAGGGATTGGAGATGGAGTTGGGCAGGGGAAAGATTGGACCTCTTCTCCTCTTTGGACCTGGATATGGTTGTTTCACACCGGTGTTTTATGAAGCCTTGGTATCACTTCGGTCGAGCCAGCCCATTCGTGACGAAGCATGCCATTTCCACCTATATGAATCTAGAAGGGAATGTCTCATTATATCATTGTAACTAGTCTATGTAGTATAAAGTCATGAGTTTCATGTTCATACCGCATATCATTTGGCTTATCTTTTAAGAAAAAGGGCAGTCAGAAAAAGGTTTAGTTAAGTGCACATTTTGCATCCAATTCAGAAATACTTCCTACATGTTTGATAGATGAATGTAATTACGAATGCAACCTATTTTAGGGGTATGTATTAAAGTGATCAAATGATTATATAAACATGCATAATGGACTTGCAATACTCATAATGTATGATTGAGTTTGTAAATAATTCACGTCACTCAATTTCATCTTAATGTGTACGTTAGTTAAGGAATCTGAGGTGTAGAGAGATTAGATTATGTTATCAGTTTATTTGATGACGCGGTGTAAGCTTGCAGTTGATCCGCTCTCACATGCTTGTTGCAGTCGGCTAAACGATGTCAGGCCGATACTGTTTCAAATAACCTTTAAGCCGTCACCCCTCATGTACTGTACAAACAGCGGCGAAGTCAAATCAGCGCCAAGTTAATCCGTTTAGGTGCGCGAACCCACTTGATTAAGTTTAATTTATTTTAAAAATCAGCGCGAGCGAGCCGCCTCCGGCGCTGCGTCCCTCCGAAATACATTATTCAGTGTTTTAGAATAATTTTCAAATTCGATTACATAGGGCCGACCCTCGGTAAGTGGGTGGGCCGGGCGGCGGCGCGCGGCGGGTGTATTTAGCCAACACGGGGGTCTCGCCGCGTGCGATTCTGATTTGAATATGCGCCGCACGTGGCGTCCCGCGCCCCCGGGACCGCGCCGATCATATTTCAAACGTCACCAGCGATGTCTCACTCAGATACTATCGGCCGATAAACGACGAGATACCACCGGCAAGGGTGGAAATAGTTCGCCGCCCGCCAACCTCCAGCTATTTTTTACCCCGCGATTATCGCCTGCAGTTGACACCTAAATATTACTTTTCGCTCAGCGCACTCGTATACCCTGTGTTCGCTATACAGGCATTTTGCGGTTAGGTGTCGCAGCCAGCGAAAGCACTTGAAGTTTATTGGCATGACATATTTTGTAGAGAATTTTCCGCGTATTATAATAATCACAGTGTGAGCCGTGATGGAAAACATTTTGCACACGCGAATTTGCACATAATATTTTCATATGGTGATCACAACGGGAGCCACTTTAGTGAGTACGAAAAGCTCTGTATGCTGATGTAAAAATATTTTTACTACTGTTTTTTTATGAATTGTGAAGATGAAAGTTCTATAAACAAATATAGAAATGCTGTGAGTTCTCAGGCAGCGATAGTAGCACATAATCGGTGGGAGTGTTCGCACGCGCAACGCGTGCGCGGGCGCACGTCGGCGGCGCGGGCGGCCGCCGCCACGCTCCACTCCATTACCGCGACACCACTGACTCTGATGACGTAAATTCACTAAGTACAAGAATAACAGAGGTGGCAAACACTGTCACTAAGATTTCTGCCGTAGTCTTGTTAAAAAAAATTTATTAACTTCAGGCTATAAGGCGTTATGGTGTAAACTGTTGCTAAACATCCCATTATGATTTTACAATAGACAAAAATTTTAATAAAATGTAATACAATTTAATAAGACATCACCTTTATATTTAATTTATTTCTTTATGCTAAGTAGTATAGCATTACAATAATTATGTGTTGAAATCCAATACTCACACCAAAATTTCTACATGTATGACATGTCTGTTTCTCTGTTTACTCTTTGACAGCAGGGAAGTATTTATGGCAGTGCAATCTAAGAGTACATCAAATAGCCGCGTAATCCGCTACTTGTATCGCTAAATCGAGATATGGACGAATTAATTTTGGTCGCATGCCATCATAATTGAAAACGAAGACTTAGCGTGACAGATGTTTGAATGCGATAGATTGAAGCTTAGCTTTTTGGACTTTAGAATGTTAAATAGAAGAGTAATAGTTTTATGCATAAATGTTGTTGATTATATTAAATACATATAAAAAGTTGAAATTTATAATTTCTATAAAATAAATAAAATTAGCTTTTATGGACGCGGCTATTAAGTCCAAATTGTGCTGAATCACAGTATCATTTTGCAGTCAAACATTGACATGCTTCGGCTAGAAATGTATTAGTCATTGAGGGGGAAAATCATCAAATGATTTCTCTCGACCTGAGTGAGGCGAGAGGTGTTAGACTCTTACTGACTAAAAACTACCCACTTTACTTCTACTGGTCCAGGCTGAGCCCATGGTATATTACTGTGCCAATAATTCGCAGCTCTGTGTCAATAACTGTGGCTACCAATCCAAACTAATATTATAAATGCGAAAGTAATTCTGTCTGTCAGTCTGTCTTTTCGTCACGCCTAAACTCGAGAAAGGACATAGGATAGTTTTATAACCAAGAATCTGCAGGAAGTCACTATTACACGCGAACAAATATTTAACAGTTTTCAATATCTTCTAGGAGTTTCCTCATCAATGTTAATTAAAGATACGACACATTGGCCCTAGAACTTTGTACGCGCACACACATAATATTGTACTAAAGGGGAAATCATTTCTTTTATTCGGAATATTTCACATAGACAAAATGTAGTTTTGGTCGAGTGAACTTTGACATTCCCCTTAGCCCCATAGGATGTGCGATTGAACGGTCGCCCCACAACTGAATTTGAGTGGCTTCATGGGATTTAACTATGATTACCATGTAGAGATTTGACACTTATTTATTTAGTTTTTGTAATTATTAAATTTTAGATATGTGAACATTATTTCATAAACTTTTAAGATAAAATTTATGAGCTTGTTACGGAAGGAAAATGCTCTTTTTGAGTACAAAAAGTACAAATATTTATGAGCTAACAATTTATTCATTCAATTACATTGTTATCGATCAACAAACCAAATGAAGAGACAAATCAAAAATGCAAAGAAATTCAATAACCGTCTACGATTCTTTGGATTGTCACCCCAATTCAGGGATTTCTACACCAAGTTGCTATCTACTTCCCAAAATGTCGATATTACATTTTATTTTTTTAGTCAAAGGGATCATTTTTGATTGGCAACTCGTTTTGTAAGAGTAAGGATGTCCCAGGGTGCTTACAAATCCCCGAGATTGAGTGCGGGACACCGCGCGGCGAGGGTTCGATTATTACTCCAGTCTCGATCTCGATACACCACTCGATGCATCGCGGGGAGCTGCATTACACCGAGCATCGAGTATGGCGTTCAGTGGCTTTTGAATCGATTCGTCGTCGGATCAATCGAGTTGCTAATAGTGTTTGGGACTTGTTAACAATATTCGCTATTTGTTACATACATAGTACATGTCTCTGTCACTTTCTATCAAGATGTAGAAATCTTTCTTTCATATTTAGAATTTTCATTTTCCTTTAATTGTTAGGTTTCACCAAATAACCGACATATGGACGTATCTAGTTTCATGTCTGTAAAGGTTATGACAATGACATCAATTTTCAACTATACATTATCTTGTCTGAATACTTCTTAATACGGTAGAATTACTCTATCAAGTACCAAAGAGCTGTCAGTGTTTTGATACTTTATAAACAAGTTTTCCCCTAATACTCTCCATAACCGAATTGCTGTCTTCTCCCATATGTTGCGCAGAATGTATTATTTTATTATGTTTTTATTTACTTAACGTCCGCCGAGACGAGTGTTTAAGCCGACGTTTATGATATTCTCCTGTGGTTTGCAGCCGAGGGGTGAACGATGATGTTCTATTGTTTCATTCTCACCCTCGTTTTGTCAAGTTGATACACTGAACTATATCACTGCCTAGGTATGTATACGTAATACGAAATGTCAACGGTGTTTCGAGGTTTTGAGAACGACGATCGAACAAACAATTTTAGATTTGAGGTACCGTGACACTTTATATTTTAATAAAAATAAACGTATCACAATTCTACTTCTAGTATAAGCTGTACGTTGATAATTTATCGAAAATTCTATGCAATATTTTTAAATCGTTCCCTATTGTTGCGTGTAGCAGACAAAACAGATGAAAACAGTCTGAAGTGTAGGCAGGCTCCAATGATCCGTGCCTCGCGCGATATTATTTTTGCCGGGCACAAAGCGCGTCCCGCGACCCATCAAATCACGTCGAGTCAGCCCAACACTAAAAAAATGAAAATTGAAATTAAAATACACGATACATCGATATGAGGTTATTTTAATTGAATAAAGCTTTTATGAAAATTATAAATTGGAGTATGTTTTATGAATATACCATCGTCGGTAACCAACTATGTAGGTACTTCTAGATGAATAATGATAGGTTTTTAAAATTCACTAGCCGACACAGCCACGCGTTGCTGTGGCTAAGGATCTTGTCATATTACATATGGACAAATATTTTGCAATAAAATAATATTGTGACTATAATTTGACATACAGCATTGAGATGTAAGCTATCCTATCTTTCAAGTTGGATGAAACGCAAATGGAATGCAAATCAAATTTAAAATCGGTTTAGTAGTTTAGGAGTCCATCGCGGACAAACACGTGACGCGAAATTTTTATATATAAATATTTTAGCTGTTCAAAATGTAACTGGCCGCAAAGACTCTATACAAGATTTTCATATATTGAATGATTTCAAACGCATTGTTACTAAACCCTGGCACATCTCAAACCATCCTCAAACCTTATCGACATGCACCTCCATCCGCCAAATTACCTGTTCAAAACAATTACTCAAAAACAATTCCTCTGGTACATTAATATTCGCATTGAAATAAAGATTTATACATCTGTCAGGGGCAAAACACGGTAGGAATAATAATATTCATTCCGTGTGATTGACACGGCCATGTATTTGAGAATCTCTGCGGGGTTTCTCAAGGGGTTATTGAAAAACTAGTGGCACCGTCCCGCCCTGTTTCACCGCAAGGGGCGATGGTGTCATTACGGCGTCCTCATCGTGTTGCCAATCCAGCTCCTACTGGTCCGTAATGATTGGAAAAGGTTTTAGTTTTATATATTTGTAATTAATAGCCGATATTTGAGATACTGATGTGTGTTTCTTGTTCCCATTTTATTGATTTCCTTATTCGGCTTCACACGGGTCCAATGCTGTCTTCACTGTTTAATATATGTTGTTATAAGTACTTTATTCTGTAATCACTCTATCTTTTAAAAAACATCGCATCAAAATAATTTGCGCCGTTTGAAAGATTTAAGCATACACTGGTATTTTATTATAGGGATGGAGAAAGCGACTTTGTTTTATATTATGTAGTGATAAAGTATACCTAAGGATAGGTTGTGATCATCAGCCTATAAGTGCCCACTGCTAAGTAAAGGCTTCTTCTCACACTGAGAAGGTAAAAGCATTAATCACCACGCTAGCTCAATGCGGGTTGGCGATTTCAAACTTATAATTAGAAATTATAAGCCCAGGTTTCCTCACGATGTTTACCTTTACCGCATGCCAGTGGTGTCTTAATAATCATAGAAGGTACTTACATATAATTCGGAAAAAGTCACATTGGTACTTGCCAGGTTTCGAACCTACACTCTGATGCATGAGAAGCGGGCTCCTCAACCTCCAGGCCACCACGACATGATAGGATAAATGATAGGGTAAATGAGGTAGGAGACTAAAATGATACATAAGTTCGAATGAGAAAACTCGAACTTTTTTTGAACTCTAGTTAACAATTCTGGGATCAACTGTATTGTTCTCTCAATACTCATTAGTGACAAAGTCTACGATGCACTTTAAAAAAATCTTTGTACGTTATTCCCTATACGGAATCATATTTAATTAGCTCCACACGTTCCATAAAAGTCTTAGAATTGAGCCCTGTAGGGGTGCAGATGGTACTGGCTGATAATGGGACATACACACCGGGACGTAAATAAATGAAGCCTTATTTGAATATTGTGCCCGATCGGGGTTGCAAATTAAATCGTCCTTC